CCTCCCTGAGGTGAATCCCATTTGGTCATTGTGTATGATCCTCTTGATGTATTTTTGAATTTGGTTTGCTAATATTTTGTTGAGTATTTTTGCATCTATGTTCATCAGGGATATTGATCTGTAATTTTCTTTTTTGGTGGGGTCTTTGCCTGGTTTTGGTGTTAGGGTGATGTGATGCTGGCTTCATAGAATGAGTTTGGGAGTATTCCCTCCTCTTCTATTTTTTGGAAAATTTTAAGGAGAATGGGTATTATATCTTCTCTGTATGTCTGATAAAATTCTGAGGTAAATCCATCAGGTTGGGGTTTTTTTTTTCTTGGGTAGTTTTTTGATTACCACTTCAATTTCTTTGCTGGTAATTGGTTTGTTTAGATTTTGTGTTTCTTCCTTGGTCAGTCTTGGAAGGTTGTATTTTTCTAGGAAGTTGTCCATTTCTTCTAGGTTTTCCAGCTTCTTAGCATATAGGTTTTCATAGTATTTTTCTTTTTGACAAATTTAATTGTCATGTCTAGACTCCTTTAATCTAGAACTATTCTTCATTCTTTGTCTTTCATCACCTTGATAGTTTTGAAGAATGCAAGCTGCTTTTTTTGTAGAATGTCTCCCAGTTTGGACCTGTCTGATATGTCCTTGTCATTGGATTAAGATCTACTAGGATAGTCCAAATTTTCAAGAATAGGACTTTTCCTGGACTGTTTTAACATTCCAAGTCTGTGAATTCTCCTCCCAAAGTGTAAATGAGAAATCTGTAACATCTTTTAGGAAACTCATTGGTTTAGGAAAATAATTCAATTTTCAGACTTGATAAGTATTATGAAGTGATGTGTCCTCAATGCAACGCATCTGGGAGCACATAATGTGTATTTGTCATATTATTGGTGGTGTTAACTTTGACCTGTTGGTTAAGGCAGTGACCTCCAGGGTCCTCCACTGTAAATTTACCATTTTCCCTCTTTGTATTTTTTTTCCACCAGGGAATCATTTCTTTTTAACACATTGCTGGTCACATAGGAAATCCAATCCTGCTATCCTGATGCAGGCAACAGACAAGAGAAACATAGCTGAGGAAGAGTACAGAAAGGAAGTGTTCTTCAGGAAGCTATTGAACATCTTCAGAGCCTGAACAGTTTGTTGTCTCCTGGGTCCCTTAGGTTGTCAGGAATTCCAATCTGGGGAGATCTATCTGTGCGCTAGGTGAGACCTCAACCCCGAACAGGGTTCTTTACTCTGATCAAGAAAGAACTCATGAGTAGGTCAAGCAGGTACAAGCGGAGAGTAGTCTAATAAGGCAAAAGTACACACTCAAGGAGGGGGTGCAGGCGTGCTCTAGAGATGGGCAGCCCCCCTTTCCTTTGCTTTTAATAAGCATTTTGTGGGGGAGACACTTTGAGACTATGCAAATAGAGTAGCCAGATAAAATACAGGGAACCCAGTTTCATTCAAATTTCAGAAAACCACCAAATACTTCGTTAAGTATGATCCCCTCCTACCAAATTATTTATCTATAACTCAGTTGGGTATCTTGTGTTTTTTTTTTGGCAAGATATGACAATCCTATATGTAAATATTTTGTCCCTCATCAGCTTCACCCAGTTGTTTTGGTGTCCATTGATGATTATGAATTAATTTTGATTATGATTTTACCAAATAGTTATTTTCTAACTCCATCATTCTTTTACATTTATTAGTTGGTATTCTATCCGCCTGTCTTTTTATCCACTCTTTACCATGCCTGGCACACAGTAGGCGCTCAGATATTTGTTCAAGCAATGAATGAACGAACTCTAGCTCTCTGGCCCGGCTTCTGCAGCAGCAGCGCCTGGAAGGGGCTTGCCCTCTTCAGCCAATCACGGCGTGCTACCGAGGCTTCCCAGCCGTTTGGGGCTTCGGTGCTGGCTCTTCTTGCTCCAATCACAGGCAGGGCTTTCCTGAGCAGAGACCAACGGCTGCCGGTGGGGGGCGGGGCCTACCACGCGGCCGCGGTATAACTGGGCTGCCCGCGCGCGCGCTTCTCTCCTGGCGCAGACACCCGCACAAACCATGGGTGTTCCTTCGGTAGTGTCCACGTTGGCCGCCCGGCTGCTTCGGCCCGCACAGAACTGCCGCCTCCACCATTGCCCCTTACACCTCTCGGCAGTCAGGTAAGGGGCGGGATGTGGGGCAGCGCCGAAAGCCCGGGGAATCGAGGGCTGGGGGGCCTCCCAGGCTCCGGAGGGCGCCGAGGGACGTCCTTCCTGAGCATCTCCGTCCCGGGCGGTAGTGGCCACCGGGAGGGGTGTGGCGGGGCGACGTGGCAGCCCGGCGCTGCCGTAGCCTGAGACCTGGGCGCTCGCTCCGCGGGGTGAGCGAGTGCCGGTAGTCCGCTTTTGGAGGAAGCCCGTCGCCCGCAGGCTCGGGGCGTCGCCCTCTCTGGGGGCCTTTCCGGCGCGGGACGGGGCCCAAGGTTCCGAACGAAGGCGCGGGCGGCTCTGGGGCGCCCCGATCTGCGCGGGAACGTACGGAGGCTACCGGCCGGAACCTGCCGACAGCCTTTGGCGGTGATGCCGAGAGTCGTCTTGCGGAAAGCCTGGCAGGGTTCTGAATGAGCAGCCTTCGGCGCGCTGCCTCTTCCCGGGACCCTAGCGGCGGAGGGGGTGGTTGCAGTCTGATGAAATCCCCGAGCCGGCTTGCCGCGGGGTACCAGCCCTTCCTCCTTCCCCAGAAGGTGGATGTGGCTCGCGCTGCGCTCCAAGCTGATCCTTTCCCTCCCAAGGGAACAAATGTGCTGTGGTCCGCAGGGCTTCCACTGCAGCCTAACGCGAGCTGGTCAGTGCCAGGCTGAGTAAACTCAAGTGCTAAATTCCCGGGAGGAGGAGAGGGGTAGCTCTGCGTTTGCGAAGGGAGGTAATGGGTTTTCCCTGATCTTTCTGGACCTCACACTCCCATTGCTAGACCTAGGTTGAAGAGTCTTTGGGGATGGGGTGAGCTGTGATTTCTCTCCGTAAATCTGTACACTATCCCTTCCATCTTTAGAGCCTTTGCATTGCCAGAGACCTAAGCCTTGTAACAGCAGCCCCTTCTTTCACCCACTGTGCTAGGCTGTGGAATTTTAGAGAGAACTTCTTTCTCTAGAGGAACTCACCTATCTGTCACGAGCCAGAACCGTGTGTAATTTCCATTCAATGTAAAAATGTTATTAGAGACACTGCCAAGGTTCTTTTGGAGCACAGAATGCAGTTGGTGCATTCTTGGAAGACTTGTGAGGAGACACCAAGGCTTTTCTCAGTCTGACCTTAATCTGTCCTCAGTTCCATCTCTCATTGTTGTTTTCCTCCCTCTCTCCCCACTTCCTGAGTTCTGGCCACACGTGCCTGTGGCTTTCAGGAGTGAAAGGAGATTGATAAACATCCTCTAATTCGCGACCTAAAGAACTGGGCCGGTTTGCTAACTCTCTAGTGATAAACGCGCTCCTTTCTCCGTGAGTCAGTAGGCTTCCACATCTCTGAAGGCGATGCTCCCTTTGGTATTTACGGTTCTGTATTGCTTTGATCACTGCTGGCTGGTAAATGTAAAATAATGTCTTTTTAAAAATATGAGTCTGAATGTATTTCTTTTCTGGGGCAGAAGGTATTGGTGTGAGGGTTTTAGGAACATAAACTTATGGTTAGAGGGATAGTACTGCAGTCTAGGAGACAATGGAGTGAGGGAAAAATGGACTTTGGAGGCGAGGTTTGCATTTGGATCTTGTTTCTACTGTCCTCAGTTTCCCCTTCTGTATAACAATTACGGTAACAGCCCCAAGGTAACTGAGAGTACTGTATGCGGAACTCTTAGCAAAATACCTAGTGTTTAATAGATGTTTGTTCCATCTCTCTTTGTGTCTTTCTTCACTCATTACCACTCCATTAATTACTGGCTTTCATGACTGACAATGAAGTAGTAGATGACAGAACTCTTCCCAAAATAACCTGATCCTGAATTCTGAAATGCACCTGGTATTTATTCATGGAAAATTACAGTACTGTGGGGCTTTTGAATTAGGAGGAAAGTGAAGATGCTCCTGACTTGGATTTTAGTTTTGAATTTCATTTAAACAATCCTCTTGACTTCTTTCTAGTCTTTTCATTCATAATTTTAAAGGAAATTTTCTAAACATCTCTGTGAAAACACTTAATTCCTAAATAGGTGTTAACTAATACAGTTAATATGTTTTGGACTCCCTGTGGGACTGAGCTGAGTCTCTGTGTTCATTCTTGGGTAGCAGTTACTTTCTCTGCCCTTTGGCAAAAGGTGATGGGAAATGAGGTAATGCCTCACTCTCTGGACTGCACGTCACCTTTTGCTGAGTCGTGGCCTGCAGAGGAGGTGTATCATTAGAAATAGTCACTGTGCTATGGCTTTGTTTTTGGTTCCTGTTACTCTTTGACAGTTTTGTTTTTTCTTTTTTAAGCAAATTGGCATGACGCTCAGAATCTGCCTTTGGGACTTGGAACACTAGGTTCTCCCAGAACTCTGTGTCCTTAACTTTAGTATATTAGTCTTAGCTCAGATGTGCTGCTACAGTTTTCTCTAAGTTTATTGCTTTAAAAGGAACTTATTAATGAATTGTGATCTAAGTGCTTCTTACTGAATATATATATCCTCATGAGTGTATAAATATGTGTGTGTGTGCAAGTTTGACCAAGAAAAGAGAATAAGAAATTAATTCTTATTGAAAGTGTATGCCTGGCACTTTATATATGTTATTTCATTCAGTACAGATCACTGTCCTAAACCCTTTTTAAGTAGTCTTTCAGTCTGTAGTGTTCAGGGTTGGGAATATATTTCTGGCCTGGGGTGGGTAATGTTGCCAGCGGTATTTGTATCAGCAAAGCCCTTTTAATGAAGTCCCCCTCAGCTCTAATTCTGAAATGGATTTGTAAATATGAACATGTTTGCAATTCTTTAATATATCATGGGTATATATGATATGCTATAATGTATTTTGTGCTATTCTGGTACTGTTACATAAAATTAGGGTAAAAGTATTTGGTTTGCTATAAAATTATCTTCTTAATACCTCCCAAGATGCAAATACAGATTAATAGAAGGTTTAGATACAAAATTATTGCATTATATCAGACATTAAACCAGACATTGAGATCTGGCTTAAAGTAGGCACTTAATCATAATGCAAATGGAAAGCAGGTATTAAAGGCTTAAGGACTGTTAAAGCTTTAAAATTCCATTTTAACAAACAGTGGTTTGTGTACTAATCATATCTGATCATACAAGATACCCAGTACCTTGATATTATCCCTGAGAATTGAATATCTGTTACAAAGGGAAATTATGTCAATATTTCAATCAATTGCATGTTTCATTGGTCTTGAGGTTGGAGCGTTCATTCCTCATGACACCAAAGACAGGAATCTAAAGGGAGAGCCTGTTTTGTAGTCTGATCTTTACTTTTTACAAGAATTTAAGCTAGCTGGTTTTGTGGACTCTGTTGCCCTCTGCAGAAATGAAGCTGTTGTCATTTCTGGAAGGAAACTTGCCCAGCAGATCAAGCAGGAAGTGCATCAAGAGGTGGAAGAGTGGGTGGCATCGGGCAACAAACGGCCCTACTTGAGTGTGGTTCTGGTTGGCGAGAATCCAGCGAGTCACTCCTATGTCCTCAACAAAACCAGGGCAGCTGCAGATGTGGGTATGTGTTGCTCTCAGACCCTGACAGCTGTTAAATTAAGGCTTATTCGAGGCAAACCCCACTGTAGTTTGTTATTTCTTTTTCTGATTAGGAAAACCAAGCAGAGGAGCTAATGTTATTGAACTATATCCAAAATTTTGTCATAAAAAAATTAGGCTGTTTCGATTGGGGAAGCTTATAGACTAGGACAGAAGGAATATGGTTGGTAACCTTGGTGTCTTCCAGATTGTAAGCCAAATTCTGTCCTTCATCTTAACATTTGACTAGTGACCTTGCTCACGGTTTAATGTTGCTTTTCTTGAGCAATAATGTTTCTCTGACTGACACGTTTGAGCATTTGATTGAGGAGACCTCACTGATGTGGCCTAGAAGAGACAGACTCACAGATTTGAAGGAAATGATTCTGACTTCTGGGAAACAGTTTTTGGCTTCTCCACCAGTTGCTTCCAAAGCCAATTGAATCATGCAGCTTAGAAGTGGTTGGGGTCTTGAGCAGAAACCATGGGTCTGGGTGATTGGAGGTTTTGTGTTGTAGGTTTCCCTATGCCATAGACTCAGTGTGACAGTAGCCCAGAGGTCGGGGGCTGAATTGTGCCTCTGAGTCTCATCTGCAGGTCAGTGGTCTGAGCCCTGTGTACACTTCCCTTCTGAGAGGCAGTGAAATCCCTGGTGTGGCTGGCGGTGTTACTGGACTGTGAGCCCTTGGTATACTCTATTCTTTATCACTGAGAATTGAGGCCTCCCACCCTTTTCACTGAAAAACCTTTAGAACCTCTAGAAACTAGCAATTGATGGCTTTTTAGGACATTGAGAAGGAAGCATGGTGCAGTGGAAAGACCTGGGCTTCAGAACTGTACAGATTGGCTTTGTCACTAGCTGGCTTGTGTTTCAAGTTCATGGAGCCTCAGTTTTCTTGTTCATAAAATGGTGTAGAATAATGTATAGAAAGTGTCAAGCTTGCATTCTCTAGTGTATGTATTTGTGAGTTACTTTTTAGGTTCCTTGTGAACCAATTCAAGCTTTTCAGGGTGGATATGATAATAAAAATCTCTGGTAGAAGACTGCAGAGGAACCATAGCAGTACTCCTTAAATGGCTCGATAGTTTTCTTGACCTTGAAATTTTCTCACAGGAATCAACAGTGAGACGATTGTGAAACCAGCTTCAATTTCAGAGGAAGAACTGTTGAATTTAATCAGTAAACTAAATAATGATGATAATGTAGACGGCCTCCTTGTTCAGCTACCTCTCCCAGGTAAGTGTGGACTCCACCATTTAAAATGATTTCTGAGTTGTGGAAAGCTTGGTGACTTTGTGCACCTTGCCCCCGTGTGGATTTGACTTAAAGTGGAGGTAAACTCAAAAGAGAATGAATGTTTTATTAGATATGGGACAGACCTACGCAGAATGTCAGTTATTGAGATCCTGATACAAAGGACAGTGGAGGGAAGTAGTTCATGCTAGAGGACTCTGGCTTTGATATCCACATTTGGTTTGACTTTGCTCCATGTGTGTTCCTTCTGTGCAGATGAAGTATATCATGAGGCAAGTGTTAGAAGGGGAACAGGTTTGCGCACAAAACCAGATAGGCTGGAGTTCAGCAGTGCTAACCATGCAGCAGTGACTTAAGGCCATTCTCTGATTTCTTATTCAGACCACATTGATGAGAGAAAGATCTGCAATGCTGTTTCTCCAGACAAGGACGTTGATGGCTTTCATGTAATTAATGTCGGGCGAATGTGTTTGGACCAGTATTCCATGTTACCAGCTACCCCATGGGGCGTGTGGGAAATAATTAAGCGAACTGGTAGGTATATCCCACAGTTGCGTGTCTGTGTTTATATTGTAAAAGCAGTACTGGGAAATGGCAAAAATTTATGCAGTAACAAAGAGTGGAAACTCCCCCCACATCCTCTGGTCCTGCTCCGCAGAGCCTCCTCTCTTAGCAGCTGCCTGACATTGTTTCTGCTATTTAGCAGAAGCCTCCCTATAAGCTTTGTGAGTTTATAAGCTTTAATGGGGGTGATAGTGAACATTCCTATGACATTTTACAGCTTACAGGGTACTTTCTCTTTTAGCCTTCACTATGTGTAGCACATGACAGGTCTAGTTGACTGTGAGGCAGTTAGAGACTTCTTTCATTTTAATAATTAGATTCACGTCCAAGGCCACCTGCCTTTCTTTTCCTTTGGTTCTCATTCTAAGCTTGTCTGGCACTACTTTTAATGCAAATACATATATTCTTTCATAGGTATCCCAACCCTAGGGAAGAATGTGGTTGTGGCTGGAAGGTCAAAAAATGTTGGAATGCCCATCGCAATGTTACTGCACACAGATGGGGCGCATGAGCGCCCTGGAGGTAAGGAAATTGCTTCCACAGAAATGTTGTCCTCTCCCCTACAGGAGAACCTTCAGAGGCTGTGCTGAGGGTGTTGGGAAGTATGAACTTTGTAAACTTTGTGTTTGTTGTGACTTTGTTAACAGATAGCTGGGGAGTAACCTTTGTAGGGAGAAGCTGTACTCAGTGTCACCTGAGAGTTTACTTTATATTCCTTTATTATGGGACCAGTTCAGAAATGGATATGGCTCAGAAATAAATTTTGGGTTTTGAGTATAAATATGGTTGCAGGTAATTAGAAACCATGGGTCTGGGTGATTGGAGGTTTTGTGTTGTAGGTTTCCCTATGCCATAGACTCAGTGTGACAGTAGCCCAGAGGTGGGGGGCTGAATTCTGCCTCTGAAAAAACAAAATGCCATTCCATTTGTCATTCCCCCGGGAATGGTACTGTGAGCTGCCACTTATAGCTTTGGTAAGAAGCAGTTCTTATTCAAAGTTAGTATCCCATTCTGCATTTGGTAGAAAACGTCTTAGAGCATTGCAAAGGATTAATTGATATGACTGTCACATATCATGTCAAGTTCTGTTAATTTGTCTGAGAAAAAGCCTCATAAATCTGTTATCACATGGGATTATCATATGACCTTTTATGATTATATCAGATATAATAGCAAAACTGTATTTCCAGGTATCTTCCAGTATACTTTTTCAAAAAATTTTGAGTAATTCTAGTGATATTTTGCTCAGAAAAGGTAAAATTCCTGAAGAGCTGTTAAATAGTATAAGTAATAAACTTAATTATATATGACACCAAAGGGTAGAGCTAGGACCAAGGGATAGAGGTTATAAGAAATCAGGCATTAATTTTTAAACAGTAAATAACCATTAGCTGCCTAGAAAATGTGGCACATAAATTAAGTCAGTCATTTTCTCAGAGACAGTGAATTTCTACAATGGTTTGACCAAGTGAGACTTAACCCAACCCCAGCTCTAATTCAGAAATCCAGACCTATTTCTGAACATGCAGGTGATGCCACTGTTACAATATCACATCGCTACACTCCCAAAGAGCAGCTGAAGAAGCACACGATTCTTGCAGATATTGTGGTCTCGGCTGCAGGTAAGACAGGTGGGCATCAGAAGGGTTGAGGCTGCACCTCTGACCTTAGAATGTGTCTGCCTCGCTGCCATTCCATTCATCATTCCCCCTGGAATGGTACTGTGAGCTGCCTAAAGACAGGAGGGAGGTGTGCATGGGGAATTGGTTTCTGGCATCCCGTTATACAATGTTATTTCTAAGGCCTCAAGTGTTTTTACCTACTATGTGAAATTCAAATGGTTCCTTGGTTAATAGCTTTTATAGATTTTTATAAAACAAGCTAATTAATTCTTCCAGGCCTCTTAGAATTGAATTTAGATAAGAATCTGACAGGTGGAGCCTTCTTTTCAGTACTAAACTGCTCATCTCCATTTCCAGGCATTCCAAACTTGATCACAGCAGATATGATCAAGGAAGGAGCAACCGTCATTGATGTGGGAATAAATAGAATTCAGGATCCCATAACTGCCAAACCCAAATTGGTTGGAGATGTGGATTTTGAAGGTAAATGGTATAACTTTTTTAAAATGTAAAATTTATAAGTACTGCTTTTAATGGACATTTAGGAAAGATCATTTTACTTTCACTTCTAAACTTGTGTTATCCTGGTAGTACCATTTTAAAGTGCATTCCACAAGAATTAAGAGAAGACATTTAAGTAATTACAGCCATTCTAGAATCATTTAAGGTGTTTATATCATAAAATTATGGAGAGCAGGTATAAACTTTCCAGGGAGTTATTTATTTTTTTCCTTAGGACTTTCATAATTGAAATAGCTTCATGACTTATAGCAAGTCTGAAAATGTAATGAAGTGATTTTACTAAACTACTTAATTTCCTAACCAGTGTTATAAATTTCTCATTTTTGTATTGAGAGGAGAGATCACAAACCTGGAATGTTAAAAATGGTCCAGGAAAAAGCCATATTCCTAAAATTTTGGAATATGCTAGTAGATTCCTCCTTTCAGTTCTTAAGGTATCATATTCATCTAAATTTTATGTTGATAACCTATTTCTAGCTTTTTGTTTCTACATTTTTTGTTAGACACAAGCCCAGTATTTTTACCTTTAAGATTGGTTTAAAAAATCATGACTTCTCACTTTCCAGAAATTTATTTTACTTGGTGCTTTGGGCAAACAGAATAGTTAAGTAAAAATTGAGTAAAATTAAGAAAGTATTGTAGGTAAATAATTAAAAGAGGTATCTTATTATTATAGTAACACCTCCATCCAGTTAATCTACTGAGATGTTTCTTAAGTTGATTTAATGTGGAGGAAAAAATGTGGCTGGTAAATTATATAGGTTATTAGATGTATTCTATTCATTGAGTAGCTCTCCTTCATACATGCGTGTTATTTTATTGATATGTTCAAAAGCCTCTACTTTTGAGTAATATTGATGTGATTTTTTTATGAGTTTGAGGCTTATGAAGGTGCGTGTATATCTCACTGCTTTTTCTGTGAATGCTTCTTCCGTGATGTGTTAAAATATGTACATTTCCTTTGCCATAATTAAATCAGTCCACCAATCTTGTTTCTATGTAGGAGTCAGGAAGAAAGCTGGTTACATCACTCCAGTCCCTGGGGGTGTTGGTCCCATGACAGTGGCAATGCTAATGAAGAATACCATTATTGCTGCCAAAAAGGTGCTGAGGCCTGAAGAGCGGGAAGTACTGAAGCCTAAGGAACTTGGAGTAGCAACTAATTAACTGTTACATCTGTTGTGTCATGAACAGCACTCCAAGCCAGTTCAAGAGGCAACACAGGCCAAACGAAATGCAATATTTTTTAATTTATTCTACTGAAATGATTTAAAATGATGCTTTGTATTTATTGAAAGTGTAAATGGGTGGGTGTTTGTGCACACAGCCCTGCAGTACCTCACCAGAGAGCATGCCAGGATCCTGCTGGGTCATGCGATCTAACCAAGAGACGCCATTAACCTAGTGATTGACATGGGGAACATGGTCACATTGAGAATGGATGCTGAGCTTTGTCAAGCCACTTTAGGTTACATTTGCCTTTCTAGGATTGCATTTCCCAAGTGCTATTCCAGTAAGAGTTGGTACTCACTTTGGGTTCCAAACCTTTTGAGTTCAGCTGATCAAACCAAAGGAACAATGTTGTTAGAGAAAAATAGGGAAAAGGTAAAAAGTAAGAAATGGTGACTGAACAGAAAAAAGGTACTCTAATTTATGTATGTACTGTTTGCTAACTAGAAGAAAATCTACATGTTAGTATCCTAAGCTGTCATTTGGTGGTTTAGTCATGGGAAAGTGTTTAAGATTGTTTCATGTGCTATTAGTCCTCATTTTATGTGTGCTACCATTCACGAGGTCTCCCCATTTTAGTTTTCTAGGATTGGAAGGCTTAATTTATAGATGATTTGTATGTATTATCATATTGGCTTTTCCTATATCCTTTAAACTTCACTGTTAATTTTTTGTACTGTTGAGGGTGTCTGTATGGTCTTTTTGATATATCTGGAAACCTATTTTTGAAATACAAAACTTGGACTTGATAATATTAGGGCAGCTTATGTAAGTATGCACCTTGCTTTTCCACCAAAGAATTGTCAGCAGCTGCCTGCTTTTCACTGATGCACCTGTTGGCTTTCCCAGTGGGTTTTTGAGAGCTTGAGTTAATACTGAATTTAATCAGACTTGCTGATTAAAGGTTTTTGTTTTGTTTTTTTTAAATAAAGCACTTCTGACTGGTGTGGAATGAGTTTCTGAAATACTATATCTTCCTGCTACTGTATTAGTTGTGACCTTACCTTACTTACTTTATCTCATTGGATGTGATTGATCTAGGCATTTCTATATTTGGTGGCACCCAATTGTATGCCTTAAACAAACGGGTTCAAAGAGCTGTTGGGAAACCAGCCTAGTTCTTTTACTCTTACATCCCAATGGGTTGTGCCAGCTAGGGGGTTAATCCATAAGATTCATTTAAGTGGTTAGTCTTGTTCAGGCTGCTTTCTAAACCATTCTGAGTGTTTCCTAAACCATGTATTCAATTCACACATTGTTAAATTTACAAAGGACTTCTTGATGTGCTTGCCAAGTTTTATATATATATGTAATTTTTTTTTTCAATGTGTGTTTTGACTTGACAGATTGGAAGGTATTTGCCACACACATTTTGAGGCTAGGATAGATTCCCTGTGTGTTTGCCACCAGGGCTGTGTATTTTGGCTTTCACTGCAGACAGAAGCAGGTCCTGCTCCAGGCAGCTTGAGGCAGAAAGAGAAAGGAAAACAATGGGGAGTTGACCTACTCCTTCGTTCCTTTGCCAGCTACCTTTATTCTTTCGATAGTTTTCTGGAGATGAAAGGTGATAGTTTACTGGAAATGTTTTTGTGAGGTGTAGCTGGGGTATATAACGTAATGTAATCTGACAACTCACGTAAATTATTAAGCATAGAGCAAGATGAGCAGACAGGATTAAATTTTATTTAATTGTAGTCACAAGTGGAAAAAAGTACTGACCTAACGCATGGAGAAGTAACAATAGGTCAACTTGTTAAAAGCTATTGAAATTAAAATGTTCATGTACATACAAAATGTAAATGACATAAGGTGGAAAATTATAACGATCAATTTACAACAACTAGCATAGTTTTCCAACTTGTTTGATTGATCAAGCACATTTACTTCTGAATCCATAACATTTCTACAGTTTGGGCAAAGTGATAGTGGAAATAGCCAAGTTTTAAAACTGAAATGTTAAGTGTAGATGGTTAGCTCTCCCAGGTGCAGATGAAGATAAAGAATTTATACTTAAATTCAGGTGGTATTTGTGGATTAGTGAGCAGCCAAGTAATTCAGTTGCTGTGAGTAGAAGTGGTAGAGGTTTAGAGCTTTACTACCTCTTGGCAGTATCCCTTGGAAAGGAGCTGAGATTTTATTTAATAAACACTTATTGAGAGTGTTCCATGTATCAGGCACTGTATTACGCCTTGGGGATTACAGAGGCAGTTAACTGCCCCGGTACTCAGGGTGTTAATTAATGATCTAGTGTTTTTGTCTTTTAAAAATACAAAGGACTATAAAACGCACCTGCATTTGTGTCTTGAGTAAATGTAGTAACTCTAACCAAAGTGATTTACTCGAGATTCAAATCTATAGTTGTTTCAGAGCAGATAAATGTCAAATGCATTGTGGCCGTCCAGCACATAGTGGGTGTTTATTAAATGTGGGTTGAAGATAGACTGATCTTAAATCCATGAGGAAAGGATTTGCTTCATTATTAATGGGTTTAATTTACCCAATATACTTCCAATCATTCCTTTAAAATACTAGTCTAATAACTGCAAAGTTAACAATCTTCCAAAATTTGACATTAGCTCTGCCTAACATGCAATGTTAGTGCGAATGGGAGTTTTGACTTTTATTAGGCCATTGAAAACTTGCAGGAAGGACCTACCAGAATACATAGAGAAAATTTTCCTGAGTGAAAACCAGTGATTTTAATTTAAAGCATCATTTTGTTGATTTAACATGTGGTTTGAAATTCCACTTTAACAAGAACTCTCTTTAAAAAAACATTTATCTACTCAAACATGTTGGTTCTTTCACTGACAGACGTCTGGAACTGACTTCTCAATATGGGAAAGAAAGCCCCAGTTACACTCCTGTGCTGGGACAAGGCCCGTAATGCAGGTAGTTCAAGCTTGTCATACAACCCTTAGAAAACTGAAGAATATGGAGAGCAAAGAAGACAACTTTTTTTTTTCAGATGTTTCTTAATATGCAAAATTGCAAACTTTCCAGCCTTGGTCTGTTGAAGTATGAGCATTTTAACAGTTCTTCCAAAGACCATTTAGATACATTAAAATCTAACCTTAAAATAAAAATTACTATTGCCCCATTATCTTAGCTATGCTTTTAGGGAGCAAGCATTCTTTTTGTTTCAAGAAATGTTACAATTTCTACGCTGGACTGCATTTTAACATAAAGTATAACATTTAGCTTTAGTTGTGTTCATAACTACAAATGGACGAGAAGAGCTTTGCTTGAAATTAGGACTTTTCATGGATAGCTCTCCAGTTCTCTATCAGGCAGAGTACTTACTCTGGTATAAATAAGGAAGCAGGCTCTGAGAAGGGTTTTGGCCCAGACCCTCACAATGAAGACTACACCATGCCCTCCTCGCCCTTTCTAGGGGAAGTGGGATCCTAGAGGGTGGTCTCACTGCCAGCTTCGCTTCCATATCTGTCCATGTCTGTGAAGTCACAGTCTGACTCCATGTCTATCTTTACCTGTGGCACCATGAACACTGGGCTCTGTGAGTAGTTGAAAGTAGGTGAAGCTGGACAGGAAATCTTGAAGTGCAGGGTGATACTGAACAAGAAAAAGGAAGAAAAAATGATGTTGGTGTTTTTAACGCTATCCTCCAGAACAGCCCTCTAATGCAAATAGTTCTGTCTTTGCTTGTGGACTCAACACATCATGGGAATGAGCAGTGTCCTAAGTGGCCTTCAACTGTCATCATTTAGCCACGTTTCAACCTATTTACACTGCTGTCAAGGTGAACTTTCTAGATCACACAACTGCCTGTGGTTTCCTATTTAAAAGATAGACTCCAAGTTCCTTAGCCTGGCAAGGCTATGCCCTCACCTGTCGACTTCCAGTTGACTGACCTATCCATCTTGCTCTTTGCTGTGTGTGCGTTTCAAACAGTGCTGTGGGCTTGTTCCCACGGCCTGAAATGCCCTTTTTTCTCTTCTCACTCGGTATCTCTGGCAGACTCCTATCATTGTTCCTAGACTCTCCAGATGAGGCAATTCCCTTCCTTACAGCGCTGTCCTTTCTCTGATGAGTGCATTATGGTTCTTGGCACACGGCACTGTCTTTGTTAACAGGTTTGTCTTTCTATATCCCTAGCCATTAAGCATCGTGCCTGGTAGAGCACAGATGCATACTCCGTTCAATTAGATCATGCGGCTGAGCCTTTATCTTCACTGAAATGGAATCCTGTTATTTAGTAATCTCTGCTTCCAACTACTTTCATAAATTAGTAGAACCAGTGTAGCTGGTTGGTGCCATCACCAGTTAGCAAATTTCATGCATTTCTGACCTTGTCCCATGCTTGTGTAATTTAACAGGTTTTTGGATATGCCCTATCCTGGTCCAAATTCTCTCTCCATTGACTGACATTGGGGCAATTAGGGATTCGGTTTAGTGTAGGCAACTTTAAGATGAAAATAAAGATAGATTGTTGCTTTTTCTCCTGACACATTTACAAGATCAGTGGCATTAAGGGTGTAGGTGGGATGAGAAGGCAGGCAGAGCCATAATCTGGACAGGTCACACTCCTGGGCTTAGAGTGGCCTTGGGCCTGCTGCTCAAGGAGGCTTATACTGGTGATAAATCTCTCTTCTTATCCAGCAGTGTGATAACAGCTTTGACTCAACTCAGAAGGTCCTGTACATGTTTTCTAAAATCTGGATGAGTGCCATCTAAGTGTGGAGGTCTGTCTGCCTCTAGACTTGGGATAGCTTTGGCTTTTCCTCGTGTTTGATATAGTCCAGAGTGGCTCCTGTCTGGTTTCATGGAGCAGGAGGGCACGTACCTTTTTCCTAGCAATAATGGAGGCAGACTTTCTTGCCTCTGAAGCCCTTTTCCATTTCTGAGCTCTGTAGTTTTCAGTTATAAAGTGGCCCCACTTTTTTCACACAGGGAGCTAGCTTCTCATCAAGAGCACTGAGGAATCCCACTGTTGGAATGAGGCTCCTGGAAAGGGCCTTGAATCCTTTCTTGACTATGTAATCTCCACTTAGTCTTTGATAGTTGGCTTTTCTTGATATTCTTTCTGATCTTTGCTAATTAACCATGCATTTTATTCCACAGAATATTAGAGTACCTGGCATTTTGATCTGTAGAGTTCATTTATCCTGGCTTTCAATACATATACTCAGGTCATGCCTAGTTTTTCTCTATGTTGCTTTTTTTTAATGCTTGCTTTCAATTTTCATTCTGCCAAATGTTTTGTGATCATTTCCTTTTCTAAAGTCAATTATCTCTGTGTGTTGTGATCATGCTGTCATAGCAGGAGGAGGACACAGTTGTTACTTGAGAGCCAAGGATTAGGTCTTTTGGACTAGCAAAAGCCTTTTACTGAGACACTGGCTGGCCTGTGAAATCCAAGTCCCTCAGTCCTCCTGGCCATGGCTTAGTCTCTTATGCAACGCCCACGGAGTCTACCTCATGGCTGTTACCTTCGATCGAGTTCCGAGTCACTGAAGGAAGAATCAGAGCGAGTAACTCCAACTGGAAGATCTTTTTCCTGCCAGGAAAATGAAAATGTCAGATGTGGGGCAGGTGTGAGGACTACAGTAAGAACAGCCTCCTTCTCCAGTGCTTCCTGCATCCATTTCTCCTCCCTACTCTCCAGCCCAGGGCCAACGCTACCCTGGGGGAGGACAGGGGCCAAGAGGGCTCTTAGCCAGGTGAGATGGGTGTGAAGCACACACACAGGGCCAGGGAAGAGAAAGAAAGGGTGATGGGAGCACACAGCTGAGAAGGGGGAGGAGAGTGAGAAGCCGACACAGAAGAGGCGCCTCTGATGGCAAGTGTGGTGGGAAGCTGTCCAAAGGCCCCTGATGGGGCTGGCACATCCCTAATCCGGGTCTTTGACTCCTCCCAGGACAGCCCACCGACAGGTGCTGAAACTGGAGGGGCCGAGAGTCCCCGGGCATCTCCATGAGCAGCACTT